CTCTATTTATTTCTTTTCCTTTAGTTACTATCAAAGACTTTGTAAAGTAACCATCACTTTATTAACCAAATTAAGCATTGAATCCAATGCAAGAATTAATTCCTATCTAGTTTTATGGTATACATCAATTCCAATTACCATAATATCAACAGATATTTCTTTTATCTTTTAAATATTCCAAATTTTATTCCCTAATTTACTATGTATTTATTAAACTATTTTAGAAATTATTTTTCTAAAATTTTATTTTTCAATCAATTATAGTGTAATATTTTAATGAGATACTCCCTCTTTTCTCTTTTGCTATGAAAAATTATTTTTATTCTTTATAAATCTATATATCATATTTTTTATCGATTATAGAAATTACTATATGGCCTACCATATTATATAAAATCTGTTTGAAGTGCTTACACCCAATCCTTGCCATTTGTACTTTCAACTGGTAAATAAAAAGGATATTCTAAACTTAATCCATTGGTTTTTGCATTTTTTATAAATTTCTCTACAAACTTTAGAGCACATTAATTATTTTTACTCTAATACCAAAACCCAGCTCTCTATCTGGCTTTATTCATAAAATTAATTTCTTATCTCAAAATATCCACCTGGAAAATTCTAAATATATCCTTTGCTATAAATTTCTGCCTTTTTAATCTCATAAGCTTGTGTTTTCTTATCAGATTTCAAGATTCTATTGTATTTTTTAATTATGATTCTAACTCACTCCTTTCATTCAACATTAATTCTTATCTTTTTTAAGGATCCACCATTACAATTGGTCTTAGTAATTATTAAAGCTTATGATCATTTTTTTACATTAGAGTTAGTTCTACCTTCTACATTAATTCAAGTATCAATCTTATAAAGTCTCTTTTTTTAGTTTAATGAATTAATAAGGGTGAAGATAAACTCTTTATATATATCTTGGTTTTTTTTGATAATACTGAGAATATGTCGTAAGAATCTTTTGGAATAAAAAGCATTGCTAAAATACCTTTAAGCATATATATTAATTCCATTTTATCTAGATTGTGATAAATGGAAGAATCCTATATAAGTTTAAAGAATAGTTTGAGTATTGAGAAATTTATTATGACAGTGATTTTGGAGCAATGCTGATTTGCAGCAACCAAGAACACTTTTAAAACCTGTCATATAAGAAATTTAAAATTCTTTGAATTCATTTTTATCCGTTTAGGTTGGTGTTT